AAGTCCAACCCGAAATTTAGAAGGGCATTACGGTCTTTTCACCACCCAATTAATTAAATTCATTTTTGGTAATGAAGTTGGGGTCTAAACTGATTGGATTCAGTTTACGCTTTTGAGAAACAAGTTAGGGTTTTGTGAGAAGAGAAAAGAAGAGGAGAAGGAGCAAGGAATGGTCAAGTTCTTGAAGCTAGGATTGTGGATTTCGTCAAGGGTGATCCCTATGAGGTATGTGAGTCTTTAATAGCATTGGGTTAGTTTAGCCACGCGCCAATCCTGTTTATTACAACGATGTTCGTTCTAGAAAGTTAAAAGTTGATGAATCTTGAATGGTGTTCTTGAATTTACTTTCGTTCTTGAATTGGGATGAGATTGAGGAGTTTCTTGAGAATGTAGAGTTGATTATTAGAGTTATTTGAGTTAGATTCTTGTGTATATGTTATGGGTACCTGGATCTAAAGAGATATTGAGAAAAAAAATCGAATTTAGGCGAATTGGGGTTGAAAAACAAAGAAAGGAAAAGTCAGGTAAATCTGGTGCCCCAGGCCGCGTCGCGGACCTGCCCCCTAGTTTCGCAAAATTCATCCTCGCGTCACAGAGTGGTCACAGATCGTTCTGCCTCAAAAAGCATTTTCCCAACGAAAAATTTAAATACACCTCTGCGTCGCGGAGTAGTTTCCAAGCAGTGATTTATTGATCATTTCTCATGTTTAGCTATCTAAAATCATTCCTAAACATCATGAGATATTTCCTATCACAAATCACAATCCTTGCATCCATAATTCAATTCAAGGAAAGTTAAGAGTCAAGTCAAGAGAAGTTAAGAGTCAAGTCAAGAGAAGTCAAGAGTCAAGTTAAGAGAAGTTCATAACGTTTTCCGAAAGTCTTTTACAAATGTTTTAACTTTAATTTAAGACTTGAGTTTTGAGTTGAGTAAAGAGTAAATTTTGAAGTTCATTTCTTCAAAAGAGTATATCGGGACTATGTATTCCCAAAGAGTAAATGTTTTCACATTTAAAGAAGAAAGGAAACCTTGATTTCCAAAAGAGCTTTGAGCTAGTTTTCAATAAAGAGTAAGAGTAAAGTTCATTCTTCAAATATTATACGGGAACTAAGTATTCCTAAGAGTTAAAATGTTTTCACATTTGAGCAAGAAAGGAAACTGAATTTCCAAGAAATCTTTTAAGCTAAGTTTGAGTAATTATCTCAAACCAAATACAAAGTTTTGTTTTTACAAACATATGAGCTAAGTATATTTTGGGAGTAGTATTGAACACCGATATGGGGACGAGTTTGAGTTCAGATAACTCACGTCTCCATAAACCATGTAGCCATCATGGGTAGTAAAAGATCATACTTTTTAGATGACTCCTCAAGATGCTTTTAGCATAGACTAGTGGATCCACTTAGTTAAGGCGTTCTATATGACAACAAAGTATAGGACAGTTCTAGCAGCGTAGGCAAGATGTTGGATCACCACGTAGGCTCATAGTGGTGGTTGTCGGTTAGAGAATCTCCCACAGAAACTATATTACTTTATTATATGAGTAAAGTTGAGTTTGTTATTGCATTTTCTTTAACGAACTAAGTTGTTTTCTACTGTTTTAAAGGCTTTCTATATATTGCATGTGTTTTATTTCTTTAAATTGAGTTAAGTTATTCAGGAGTTGAGTAAAGCCAAGGTAAGTGTTTCTTTTAGATTCTTTTCGAGCCTATGCTATGATTAGCTTTCCAACTCGCATACACGTACATTCAATGTACTGATGCCAGTTGACCTGCATCGTCTTATAATGCAGACGCAGGTAACCAAGATCAACATACAGCACCTCGTTGATCCAGTTGAGCACTTAGAGTCAGTTGGTGAGCCTCCTAGCTTTCCAGGGGATCCTTTTAATTGCTTTCAGTATTTTAGTTCATTAGGATGTCGTAGGTATTGTCTCGTCGTCCATCTTAGTTGTTTAGAGGCTTCATAGACAGAGTTAGTGATGTTAGTTCATGAGTCTTTACTTTCCCTTTTCAGTTAAGTTGAGACTTGAGTTCCCACTTTGGTAATGAATGTTATTTATTACATTTTAAGTTGTTTATTGAGCAATTTAGTTTTTCTTTTAAAGTATATTTATCTTGAGTAAAGTCTTCCGCTGAGTAAGTAAGTCAGGCCAAGGGTTCGCTTGGAGCCAACAATGGTTCTCGAGTGCCAGCCACGTCCGGGGTGTAGGCTCGGGGCATGACATAATTATTCAAACTGTTTTGAACTGCTTTGAAATATCTTTTGTACTCATAAACTCTTTTTAGAAATCAAAGTTTCTCTTTTCTTAGTGTATAAAATGATACATTTGGGAATACTTAGTTCCCTTAAACTTTTCCTCAAAACTCAGTTTAAAACACAATAATCAACTTTCAAAGGCTCCCAAGACTTATAACTCAAAATAGGGTTCATTTTAAGGATGAAATTTTCATTTCAAAGGCTGAAATATAGACTTACTATCATTGTTTTCTCCTTTTGTTTGATATTAACAATATTTTAAGTAAGTGTTACCAGTAATTTAATCTTAATTTATACAGAGATAGTCTCTCACAAGAGGTCTTTGAAGCATAGATGTAAGTATGATATGATTAGATGTTGTACTTCAAAAAAAAGCTTTGGAAAAGAACATATTTGAGGATCTCCAATTTTGGATGGCCTTGGTTGGGGTTGGAGATTGTTGAAGATCTGGAATGATTTGTGAGTAATCCAACATAATAACTAGGTTGTATGTAGCATGAAATTATTCTGATTAATTTGTGATGAATTTAATTCTTTTTTCCCCTTGTACCTTTATTATTTGTGAATAATCAAACAAAATGAGTACGTTGAATATAATATGAAGTTGTACGAATATGTCATGACTTACATGTCATAATTCATTAGTTTTGATGTGATGAATTAAAAAAATTCATTCAATTAATTCAAAATTATTTTCTCAAATAATTTGATTAATCATCAAAATTTTAACCTATTCAACTTCTGTTTACTTTATATACCAGAGGAATGTGCGAGAAAATATAGGAAAGTAAATACATACCTAATCAAAGAAAAAGACCGCTATTTTCACAAGTTGTCTTACCATATCCAAAAGGGACTCTTTTTCAATATTTTACTTAATAGAGTTCTTTTTCATATCCCAAATTAACCTTATTACTTGATTAATCGGGTCAATTTGAGATACAGTAGATAACTTTGTTCAGTAAAATATTGAAAAAAAAATCTTTTTTAGATACGGTAAGACAAATTTATGAAAATATTAATAGTTTTTTTCTTTGATTAGATATGTCGTATGTATTTACTTTCCTATACTTTCTCTTACATTTTTCTTGTGTATAAAGTGAAGAGAAAATGATTTGGTTAAAGTTTAGTGTGTGATCAAAATATTTTAATTTGGTTTACTCTGAAATGGAACGTGAGTCGATAGAAAAAAAACATTCAAATCCAACTAGGTTTAGAGAAAAGAACGTAGACTATGCAACCTAATACATGTATTAGTCAATTTGGTAAGTTGCAATATATGGAGTATTTCTTTCCCAATTCGGGAGGCTTTGCGTACAAAAACTTTCGCTGTTTTTTCACCGACCTCCAAGAGATTTTAATTCTATTCCTACTAGTACAAATTAGGAAATAGTTATTGTAACTTACCTAGACTTCTATTACTTAAAGTACAAAATTTCCTCTAAAACCTACATATACATATTCCTTTTGTTTTTCTTATCTGTTTGTAGCATTACACTTTTTTGCATATCAGTATGATGAAAAAAATATATCATAAAATGTTAGTCAACGCTTTTATAATTTGACTCTAAAAATGAAAAGTATGACAATTAATAGTGGATGGAGATAGTAATACTAAATATTTTCCACTCAAAATTATTTTCTCATTTATTTTTTCAAAAATAATTTGATTAATCACCAAACTTTAACCAAATCAATTTCTCTTTACTTTATATACCAAAGGAATGTGGGAGAACATATAAGAAAGTAAATCCATACATAATTAAACGAAAAGACCACCTAGGGATGACAATGGGGCGGGGTGGGTGTGGAGCGGAGCGGGCTTAGGACTATGCGGGGCGGGTTGAAATGGATTTTTTCCAATTCTTAGCAGGGCGGGGTAGGTGCGGGTTTACAGCGCAAGTGTTGATGTTCTAGCCTAATCGCTCTAGCCTATACTTTACTGTGTAACTGCTGATTTTTTTTAAACTTTTTGTTAAATTGCAGCTTATGTTAAATTTTTAATTGTGTTTCATAATTTTAATTTATTAATTGAATATTCAAAAAAAATTATAGTTGAATGTTAAAGCTAAATAATTAAGTGAAAAATAATAATAAGAAAACTTATTCGGGGCGGGTTTATGCGGGGCGGGTTAATGTGGGGCAGGTGGGGCGGGTGGAAAAGGTAAATTAGTCTATGTGGGGCGGATTAACTTCCTCACGGATTTATGCGGGTTTGCCCCCGCAACCGCCCCGCCCCGCTCCATTGTCATCCCTAAGACCACTAATATTTCACAAGATTGTCTTACCAAATCTAGAAAGAACTCTCATTTAATATTTTACTTAATAAAGTTATGTACCATATTCCAAATAAACTCGATTTATTAAGTTGTATTTGGATGGTTTTACCTGGGTAGGTTCCAAAAAAAAGAAAGCATCCCACTAAGCTTGACGTACACGATCTAACCCAGCTGTCAATAAACTTGGGAAGTTACAATTACTATTTTTCTATATTATATTTCTTTCCCAATTCGGGACACTTACATACCAAAACTTTTAGCAGATTTTTGACCAAACCTACCAAGAGCATTCGATTCTCTTTCCTATTCAAATTAGGAATACTAATTATAATTTAAATAGTCAACTTGTATTTCCGAAGGTAAAAAATTCCCCCAAAACACCTATATATAGGTACTCATTCTTCTCAGGACTCTTCATCGAATCAAGATATGGCAGGAAAGAATGCATAAAGAGGAAATCAATGGAACTTGCAACTCTCTGCGATACCAAGGTTTGTGCTGTTATTACTGGTCCTAATGGGGAACTCCAAACTTGGCCTGACAATTTGGATGCCTGTAAAGATGTTTTTGATCTCTACTCTCAAAATCTGAAACCCAAAAAGAAGCACAAGGAATCATCAACACCAGTACCAGAACTAGAAGAAGAACAAAGAGAGAAAGATCTCCTAACGCTAGTTGAATCAAATATTGCTAATGTCAACAGTAGAATTTGTTTCGTGGAGAACAAGAATGTTGTTGTTGCTGATAATGGGAAAAGAAAGAGAATTGAGTGATTTATTTGTATGGGTTTTTTATTTTTGGTATATTTTCTGAATGTTTTAAATATTGGGATCGTGTGTTTTTTTCTTGTTTTTTCGAGGATTTACAGCAGCTGAAAGATTTATCTTTGATCTGCAGATCCTTTTTTCCTTTGTAGTGTTTGTTTTATCAACAGTTGGTCCAATTATGAATACAACCCATATTTTACCCTTTTTATTCTTATGTATGTATTGAATTGAATGCTAGATTAATCCCTCTAGTAGAATGAAATACCCAAATGATTTTAATTAAAATGCAATACTTACATGAAAAATTAATGTCAGATATTAGGTAGGGTAGGGTTAGGGTTTTCTAGTCCTGGGTGCCATGTACCATAAGACAATAACTTCATAGAAAGTTAAAAATTAACAAGAATGTTTTTATTGCACTAAGAAGAAACAAGGAATGAGCAGAAAGGAGCTCTTCCATCAAAGCTTACATTAGAAGGGAATGAGAAATTGGAAAATGTCACAAAGGGAAACTGATGAATTTAATCATTCCGAACATACAAAGACATGAGATAGCATGTTGGATTTAACCACCTCAGGTGAGTCAACTGCGACAAATGCTTTTCTTTAGCATTGATCACCAGGTGCACATAAAAGCTTAACAAGTCTTGATGTAAAAGACACATGTTGTAACAAGAACTAGAATCAATTAGACAGAATGAGAACAAACCCGTTGGAGGTGAGCACATTAAGGTCATCCAGATACAGTGGAAAAGAGTACTACTACTCACCCCCACCCCCCAAGAAACTTTGACCTTAGTTAGATTGTCCATCTTAAAAAGGAGATCATAAGGGATCAAGTCACAGCAAGCAGCATCATTTAAACTAACAAATACAATTTTATTTCAGTGCTTAGAGCCTAAGACAACCTTAATAATGAAGAGTACATTTATTCCTTTTGAAGTGATATAAAACATTTCAAATAATTATAGTAGAAAGGGGTCACAGGGAAGACAATTCTAGTTTTCCAAACAACTGGAAAATAAGGAAATTTATCATATTTATTGGTTCAAAGAAATTTAAGATTATCAGCAAGATCATTGCATTTCTAAAAAGCCGCAGTGTCTGGGCCACCTTCCGCGCACACCCTCTTTATTTCATCAGGTACTTGCTACCTCCCACCAGTTTAAGTACCAAAGAAATCAGCTAGCACTTTGTCTCTGCTGGAATTTTCACCCTGGTTTTCATTCACCGCTAGGCCACAATACTTGGCTACAACAAGATCATTCTATTTTCTTACCAAGAATTGATGTATTTGGGATGACCAGTGATGGAATGTATGCGTCCACTAACTACGATAGGACCTAGTCCTTTACACAGTTAAAGCACAGAAATAGAAATGCTAGAAATAGAAAGAACACACAATACTTTACGTGAAAACCTCCTTGCTCAAGTGAGTAAAATCACGACCTGTCTCACAGGATTTTCAAACTGTTTTTACTAATCTTCTCAAGCAAAAGTAAAATACCGTTTACACAACAAAATGAGATTAACCTCCTAATCTCAACACTAAGTAATACAACCTATTACTTAACGAGCCTAAGCAATGCCTGCATTGCCCACTATACTAATCCTCACTGATTAATATAGACTTTGACCGTAAGACACAAAGTTACCCTTAATTATGTTCTTACAATGATTAACAGAAGTTTTGAAACATTTCTATCACAAATGAAATGAATCCTACAAGTTAAGCACAAATACAAGCAATCAAAATAACAACAGCTTCAGGAAGCAAGTCTTCGGTCTATGAGGTCCCTTGTTGTTTTGTTGAAGCTTGAATTTTCTCTCTTTGAATGAATGAATGATTTGAATTTTATTGGATTAAAATACATACAAAATTTGAATTAAATCCATACTCATTTGGGATGAATGATTAATTTGGGCTTTACAAATAAATAAATAAATCCATTTTATTAAATTCAAATCCAAGATCCATTTCACTTTGACGCCAAAACCCATGCCATGTGTCATAGTTACTAGGCATACAAGACCAACAAGGTGACACCACGTGTCCAAATGATGTGGTAGTCACAGTCTAATGCAAGAACCAATCACAACATGCCAAGTGTCAAAATGACATCCTTTGGCCAATCATATGCAACCTTGTCCACCCCATACAACTATAAATAGGGGATGGACATAACATTCTGGGGACATCAAGAAAACTCTTCAACAAGCATTCCGCAACTGGAGAAAGCTACATCAACTACATAGCTCTTCGAAGGAGTGATCAACAAAGTTCTTCCCGGAGATCAACTTGAAATGACGAACTGCTTTCCGACGTTCCTAGAGATCAACAACATCTCAAGGAGGTCTAGATCATCCAATAATTCGAGAAGTACGCTACTGAAGGATCTCGAATCTTGGAGAAGCTTCGGAGAGAGAATCAAGAGAACAACAAAATTGTACTCTCACAACGATTCATCAATAAAAAACACATTTTTTTCCTTTATTTATTTTACTTGCTGTTGATTTTCAGCGCTTACGGAAATTTTTTGTGAACAAATTTGGCACGCCCAGTGGGACCGATTCTGCTCTTCAACTCTTTCTCTTGCAAACCAGAAACTACAAAGCCAACTACTGCAATGGCCTTCAGAAAGAGTAGTGATGTTTCATACAAAGGCTCTACTGGTGTCGTATCTACTCATCTCAGTCATGTTGCCCTGATTAGTCGACGTAATTTCAAGAACAATGGGCTAGATGGATCTGAATAATTCACTTATTTGGAGATGATGAAAAACAACAAATCTTATACGATGGTCGTAACTGCAACACCTAGGGGCAATCTTGCATCCGTGTTCTTTGGAGAATTTTCTCAAATTGGCTCCAACTTTGGCAAATCTGAAGATTCAATGGATTTTCCAACTTCAATGAATGTCAATGCTTTGATGGATAACTCAACTGACATTGAAGAGAAACTTACGATGATGGAGCAAACTATTAAGGCCTTGAAGAAATCCGTTGATGACAAAAATCTTCATATTGCTCAACTTAGGAATAAGTTGGAGGCCTTCTCACTTGGATAGTCAAGTCATGTCCCAACTTGTTCACCTGGGTTTGATCAACGAAACAAGGACGTTGAGTAATCTCTAGTGAAGTCAAAATTTCAAAATGAGAAACATTCTGCTTCGGTTGCATCGTTATCTGTCCAACATTTGCAAGACATGATAACAAACACTATCAGGGCTCAATATGGCGGTACACCACAAAGTTCCTTGTATTACTCCAAGCCATATACCAGACGGATTGATTGTCTATCAATGCCGATAAACTATCAACCACCAAAGCTACAACAATTTGATGGCAAGGGAAACCCGAGGCAACATATTGCCCACTTTGTTAAAACTTGTAGCAATGCTGGAACACATGGTGACCTTTTGGTAAAACAATTTGTTTGTTCGCTGACAGGAAATACATTCGACTGATATATCAACCTGGAACACGAATCCATCGATAGTTGGGAGCAACTTAAGAAGGAATTCCTCAATCGTTTTTACAGTACCCGTCGAACCGTAAGCATGGTAGAGTTGACTGCCACTAAGCAAAGAAAGGACGATCCTTTGGTGGATTGCATCAATCATTGGAGATCACTGAGTTTGGACTGCAAAGATCGTCTTTCAGAAATATCTATTGTAGAAATGTGCATTCAAGGTATGCATTGAGTACTTCTATACATACTACAAGGAATCAAACGTGAACTTTTGAGGAACTTTCTATACGAGCGCATGACATGGAGTTGAGCATCACGAGTCATGGGAAGGCGTCCCCTTTTGCTGATCTGACAAAAGAAAAGAATGATTTCAGAAAAGGTATGACCTCAAAGAGCCAAACTAAGGAATCTATGGCGGTGAAAGCAAGTTCTGTAAAGGTCACCACCAAGAGTGAACTAAAAGGGGAGGAAGCCCCGAGTCAATATCCAAACGAGGACAGGCGGCGTCCAACCTTGAAGGAGTTAGATGCAAAGGTCTACCCATTTCCAGATTCAGATGTACCTATGATTCTTGATGAATTCCTAGCTAAGAAAGTTACCGATCTTCCTGCATCAAAGAGGCCCGAAGAAATCAATAAAGTTGGTAATCCTAGATACTGCAAATTCCATCGTGTCCTTGGCCACCCGACAAGTAAATCTTATATCTTGTAGGAGAAAATCATGATGTTAGTAAGTGAAGGAAAAATCATCACTGATCAGGATGAAACAACGGAGGAAAATCATTCTAGTGTAGAACCAAATCAAAAGAAGTGCTCAAGGTCCACTTTCTTGCAATTTGGAAGTTTAACTCCTATTGAAGTTGATTTTCCAAGGAAAACTCTTGAAGGTTCACTAGAGATAGACAACAACGAGGAAAATGAAGTTGACGGTTGGACTTTGGTTACTCATAAGAAGTGGAGACATCAAGCAGTTCTTAGGATACGACTTCCCAAGACAAGGGCAGAAGGAGTGACGTAAATCAACTACAACCATAAAAAAGCGTCAAGCCTTGCACTAGACAAAAGATCAAAGGTTCTTTATCGCAGAAGGTACGAAAGCCCATTACATTAAATGAATTCTTTCCTGAAAAATTCTTTTGCGGTAGTCAAATTGGTGCAACAAATGTTATTTCCATCTCAGACGAAATAAAAGAAAGCAAAGGTGAGCATAATCCAACAATAACACAAGAACATCAAACTGATGAAAAAGATGCCCCATGTTGTGCTACAATTGCCTTCACAGATGATGACTTGATGTTAGGGTCTAAGCTACATAACATACATTTGTTTGTTGTAGGATCTATTCGGGAACATCTCAATCGCATACAACTCGATGCTGGTTTGACCGTCAATATCATGCCAAAATTTGTTTTGAAAAAACTTGGGATCTCTATTGATGAATTGTCCAAAAGTAACCTAACGATCCAAGGTTTCAATCAAGGAGGACAACGATCCATAGGGAAGATTCGCGTAGGATTTCCATTGGCGACGTGAAA